TTAATTAATTGTTACAGTGCATTTTGAATCTTAATAGAATTTAATCACGGTCTCCTTGACGTATGGAAAACCTGATCTACTTGAGAAATTTTATAGATCACAAGGGCACTGTGCTTTTCAGCTTTTAAAAATGTTTATCAAACACCAAGCATTTATTAAATGAAGATGCTACAATAGAGAACGGAGGGAAGGCACTGAAATTAAATTAAATTAATGCATCATGCTGTTGTGCTAAAGGATCTTTTCCCACAAAAGACACTCTGCAGGTGTGCAGACTTCAACTCCAAGAACTTTTTAAAATGGATTTATTTGTATCGTGCCTTTATTATTTTTAAAAAATAACCCAAGGCAGCAAACATCTCCAACACACTTTCCTCCTCCTCTTTTCCCCAGAACAACAATCCTGTGAGGTGAGTTGGGCTGAGAAAGAGTGAGTGGCTCAGAGTCACCTAGCCAGCTCCCATGGCTAAAGTGGGACTAGAACTCACAGACTCCTGGGGATTGGCCCAAAATCACCCAGCTGCCTTTCATGTCTAAGGCGGGATTAGAACTCACAGACTCCTGGGGATTGGCCCAAAAGTCTCTCAGCTGGCTTTCATGCCTAAAGTGGGATTAGAATTCACAGACTGTTGTGGCCCGTCAGTGGCCTGTGCAGCTAGTAGCTGATTCCGACAGCGAGGAGGCTGGTGTGGTGCTGCGCCAGCAGCCTGTGCAGCTGCCACTCGAGTCGCTAGAACTACTCTCATCCTTTTGAGGTGTATAAATGCTCAAAACATGGGACTTATTTTCCAAATTGTGAACAATAATTGAACTGAATCTCACACTTCTGTTATTTTTGTGTTCTTATTATCATAGTATTAATTAAATGTCTGTTGTAGGATCAAGATAAGCCCTAAATGAGGCCCAAAGCCTTGGATATCAACCCCACAAAATCTCAAAATTGTTATCCAGGTGCAGTGTGAAGATGACAAAAAGGGAACATTCTCAAATGATAAAGGATGAAGAATTTATATTATATAGTGCATTTAAACTAAATGTGAATTAAATCAAATCAAATTTGAGATTTTTCCCAGCTTTATTCATTTTCTTTTTTTAGAATGGGGGAATGCCATTCCTGGCACAACACTCAAAAACTGCAAGGCTGACTAGAGAATTCTGGGAGTTGAAGTCCATGGGTCTTAAAATTGCCAAGGTTGGGAAGCCCTGACATAGACCATTAGTTCAAAGGAAGCTCCACACCCCTGCTTTAAATACAAATGTATTCACTTTTATTGCAGTATACTGCAATCACTCGTTTTTTTTTAATCGAATAACAATTTTAACTATATCCCAGAATATTTAGAGAGGACAGTACAATTGTGTGTGTGTTCATCTTTCTAATTTTTCATAGCAAATTGTGTGTTCTTAGATAAATCAATAAGCTACAGATCAGCATTTTCTGTATGCACTGAACATGTTATTATGTACCCAAGGTTCTGGGTTGGACCTTCCCAGGTTTTTCAATATCAGAGAAGCTTTGGGTGTGCAGTTCTACTGCAGGTATAGTTCATTTTTCTCTCCGTGAAATGAATAGTTTCTTGCTTACAAGGAACTCCATTAAAGATATCGAAATTCAGTGGAGCTTTGGGGCATAATATTAGAAGTTTCAAGTTTATTGATGGACTTTTAATATATTAGTGCTATTGTCTTCAGCCCATTAAGAGACAGATTAATACAACTGGCTACATTGGCATGTATTTTTTCCTTTTGTTTTAGTGGCTGAACAAGCAGAATCCATTGACAATCCATTACACGAAGCTGCCAAGAGAGGTAGGTGTAAGGTCAATATTGATGAAGGACTTCATCTGATTTCTGGGCTGAAACAGATCAATTTGTTGGGGTTTGTTAAAATCACACATTCTGCTGAAGAGCTTCTTTTCAACAACACAAGTTTTTGCTTCTTTTCTCTCCATCTTTAGAGGGCGACTGAGTTGAAACAAATGTGTGCATTATTTCCCCTATAACTTATGCTATAATGATGCTGTGCTTGTCAACCAGAAGATTGGCAGCTCAAAACCCAAGTACTACTTGAGTACTTGGGTTTGAGTACTCAAAACCCAAGTACTACTATTCCTGCCCCAGTTCCTGCAAAACCTATCAGTTCAAAAGCATGCAAATGCAGGTAGATAAATAGGGATCCCTCAGTGAGAAGGTAACGGCGTCTGTGCGCTTCGGCATATAGTCGTGCCAGCCACATGACCATGGAAGCATCTTCAGACAACTCTAGCTCCCTCAACTAGGAAATAGAGATGAGCAACACCCCTAAAGTTGGACACAACTGTTGTGGCCCGCCAGCAGCCTGCACGGATTGTGGCTGATACCAACGAGGAGGAGGCTGGTGTTGTGTCGCGCCAGCAGCCTGCACAGCCAGCTTTCGCGTCGGACAGTGAGGAGGCTGAAGAGGATGTGATGTCAGAGGCAGAGACTCAGCCAGGGCCTTCAGAACCTCCAGAGGCTCCTTCCAGTGGAGAGAGCGAAGTGGAGGAGCCTCTCCTCAATGCTCAGGCACGCAAGGCTGCCAAAAGGCAGGAGTGGCTACTCAGGAGGAGGAGGTCTACTTGAGAGTAGGGCTTGAGGATGATTGGCCACTCCCTTAGCCTAAGCTAGTGCTTTCTTGCTGGAAACAACTTGTATTTATTATCAGAGTATTTTGGTTTATCGTATCTTGTTTTCTAGGCTGATTGCCAACCTTTGCCGATCTTGTTTATCCTTGCTACTTAATAAATTTGATAAGGACCATTGGTGTGTGTCAGTCAAGTGTTGAGGGTAAAACTGCCCTCTGCAAAGTGGTGCAATGGACCAGACAGCGAATAGATACGTTGCTTAGCAAAACACACAGATACTCACAGATTCTGAACATTTAAAGAAAAATAAAGTCTTTACTTGTAATAAAAAATCAAACTTGGCTTCTCAAAACAAAGATAACACTTCTTCAAATAATCACAGTTCAACACAAAAACATAGTTTTTGCTTACAATTCCAGTTCTCTTCAGTAACACAGACACAGTTCCTTTCAGCAGTTCAACCTTCTAATAGCAGGAGCAGAAGTGAATGAACTTCTGCCTTCTTTTATGTCTGCTTAGCACAGCCAATTAGTCATCTTGTAGCAGTTAAAGTTACAGGACATAGTTTTCTATATATTACCTACCCAACCATAGGATAAACATCCAACATCAATATCCTCGGGAATCCAGAGCTGGGGCAGAACAACAACTGGGCAGGGGAAACCTTTATCTTCACCTTTATGGCAGATAAACAATGGTGGATAGTATGAGAATGAGAAGTGTTTGATGTGGGAAGTGGGAGAGAGATTGGATTAGCTGATTTACTTTAATCCTTTTCTGTGTTCAAAAGAAAAATGTGCAATCTTTTTTCCCCCCTCTTGTTATGTCTGTATTTTGGGGCAGATAATGTGCATCATGTTTATGATGCACCTTTGTCCAACCTGATGCTGTGCAGCTGTGTGGGGCTATCACTTCTTTCATCAACATCTGGAAATATGTCCAGGATTGGAGACGTTGTCTAAATGATCAAAAAGCAGTGTCCTGCATCACAACTCATATTCTACCCCTCTTGTACATGACATCATGATGTACTTACAAAAGAGGTGGTACTTGTGTTGCAGTAGTGCAATGCAGCTTTGGTTGGTTAATACAAGTATCCATTCCAGAGCCTACTATAGTCAAAGGTTAGGAGAATATAATGTGTAACTTTATTTTACCCAATTAATTTTGTTTTTATAAACATATTGATTGAAACAAATACTATTCTGATATTAATGTATAGTATTGAATAATTCCTTATTATAACAAATTGATGTGGTAGCTGATGTGATATAATCGAATTTGCATTAATAGGTTTTTTTTAGCATGAACACACATATCTAATAAAAATAAACTAGTGAAACAAAACAAGGACGGTATTAGGTATTGCATTTAAAATGCATTTAAAGTCTTATGATTGGAATTTATTTGAAAGTGCCAATGCATCAGGTTTATTTAGAACAAACTTCAAAAAACTTATTTCCAGATGAACCTTGGTAAGTCGAGGACTACCTGCAATTTGGAGGGATGCAGGTAGCCCTTGGCTTACGATCAGGGGTGAAATCCAGAAGGTTCTGACAGGTTCTGGAGAACCGGTAGCGGAAATTTTGAGCAGTTCGGAGAAATACCACCTCTGGCTGGCCCCAGAGTGGGGTGGGAATGGGGATTTTGCAATATCCTTCCCCTGGAGTGGGGTGGGAATGGAGATTTTGCAGTATCCTTCCCCTGGAGTGGGGTGGGAATGGGGATTTTGCAGTATCTTTCCCCTGGAGTGGGGTGGGAATGGGGATTTTGCAGTATCCTTCCCCTGAAGTGGGGTGGGAATGGAGATTTTGCAGTATTCTTCCCCCAGGAGTGGGGTGGGAATGGAGATTTTGCAATATCCTTCCCCTGGAGTGGGGTGGGAATGGAGATTTTGCAGTATCCTTCCCCTGAAGTGGGGTGGGAATGGGGATTTTGCAGTATCCTTCCCCTGGAGTGGGGAGGGAATGGAGATTTTGCAGTATCCTTCCCCTGGAGTGGGGTGGGAATGGAGATTTTGCAGTATCCTTCCCCTGGAGTGGGAAGGGATAGAGATTTTGCAGTATCCTTTCCTGGAGTGGGGAGGGAATGGAGATTTTGCAGTATCCTTCCCCTGGAGTGGGGTGGGAATGGAGATTTTGCAGTATCCTCTCCCTGGAGTGGGGAGAGAATGGAGATTTGCAGTATCCTCCCCCTGGAGTGGGGTGGGAATGGAGATTTGGCAGTATCCTTCCCCAGGAGTGCGGAGGGAATGGGGATTTTGCAGTATCTTTCCCTGCCCCGCCCACCAGCCCCGCCCGCCAAGCCCCATTACACCCACCAAGCCACGCCCACAGAACCGGTAGTAAAAAAATTCGGATTTCACCGCTGCTTCATTCCATTCCATTCCATTCCATTTTTTCTATTCTCAGCTCACCTGATCATCCGATGCACATTCACGATCTCAGGTGTGTAAGTTTCCGACAGGATCTTCAGTTCCTCGAACCTAGAAGATAAGAGTTTGGAGTGGGGATTGGTAGATTTCTATCTCCTACCAGAGAGAGAAGGTCTTTTGCCACCGGCCGCTCTCTCTGGAGAAGGTTTTCTACAAACCAACCATCCTTGAGCTTCTCATTAGCAACATACAGAAAGTTGCCCGCTCGAGCAGGGATGGCGAACCTTGGAGAGACGTAGTGCCCAAACTGCAACCCCAAAAACCCATTTGCTTATCGCCAAGTGCCAAGACGGCAATTTAACCTCAAGAAGGAGGTTTTACGACTAAGAGGATGGTAAACAAGGCAGAGTTCGGCTAATTGTTCTAAGAAAAAAAAGTGATAAATGCACTTTGATGCCTCTTGGGTTTTGTTTTTTTTTTGGTCTGCTTTTGAAATATTACGTTTAGCAACAGTAAAAAAGGAAAAGTTTTGTAATATCATTTCTCTCTTTCCCTCCCTTTTCTCTCTTTCCTTCCTCCCTCTCTCTTCCCCCTTTCTCTTTCCCTCCATCTCCCTCTTTATCTCTCTTTCCCTTCCTCCCTCCCTCTCTTCCCCTCCCTCTTTCCCCCCTTTCTCTTCCCCTCCCTCCCTCTTTTCCCCCTTTCGCTCCCTTTCTCTCTTGCTTTCCCTCCCTCTCTTCCCCTCCCTCTTTCTCTCTTCCCCTCCCTCCCTCTTCCCTTCTCTTTCCCTCCCTCCATCTCTCCCTCTTTCCTCCCTTCCTTCCTCTCTTCCCCTCTCTTTTCCCCTTTCTCACCCGTTTCCCTCCCTCCCTCCCTTCCTCTCTCTACTCTTTTCTTCCCTCCCTCTCTTCCCCTCCGTCCTTTTCCCTTTCTCTCCCTCTTTCTCTTTTCCTCCCTCCCTCTTTCTCCCTTTCTCTTCCCCTCCCTCTCTCCCTTTCTCTCCCTTTCCTTCCCTCCCTTCCTCTCTTCCCTCCCTTCCCTCTTTCTCTCCCTCCCTTCCTCTTTCTCTCTTTCTCCCTCTTCCCCTCCCTCTCTCTCCCCTTTCCCTTTCTCTCCCTCTCTTTCTCTCTCGCTTTCCTCCCTCCCTCTCATTCTCTTCCCTTCCCTCTCTCTCTTTCCCTCCCTCCCACTCTCCCCCCCCCCATGGGACAAACGCGATGGAGGTAGACTGGGGCGACAGCCTGTGTGCGTGCCCACAGAGAGCTCTGAGTGCCACCTCTGGCACGCCTGCCATAAGTTCGCCACCACTGCACTGGAAGAAAAGTCTATCAGGAGTGTTTTCTGTTAGGATATGGTGTAAGCCTAACAGGTTGTTCAGGCAATATATGTGTTCTATCACTTTAAATGTATTCTGTAACTGTAAGATGTAATGCTGAGTAATTGTACTGCTGAGTCATTGTAATGACTAATGACTGCTGACTGACTGCTGACTGCAATTATCCTAATTGTACTGTTGAGTCATTGCACTGCTGACTTCACTTATCTTAAGTGGATAATTACTAGTGTAAACTGTATATAAGAAGGAAGCTGAGCTATAGTCATTGTTGGACCTGCTCTCATCATTGCTTGACTTTGTTGGTTGGAACTGTTACTGTCGTGTGTGAAGGACGTGGATGGATCTGCTACCATTGTGATTCGTTACCAGCGTTGAATTGCTGTTTATTACCTACTGCTGTTTGTATGGTGAGACGATTTCTGTAACTCAGGATTGATTTGAATGGCTAAAGACTTGGATTGATTAAAAGACTACACAATTGTTTTTCGCTACGAAGTAAAAGCTTTGTTAAACCAGTTTGTATGTATTGTATTCATTGCTCCCAGTACCGTTTCTCTGTGCACTTACTCTGCTGGTTGGTAACACAACAATATCCTTAACATTTTCCTTGAGAAAAATGGCGTCGGGAGCCGACCGTTTTTGGGCCCCCAATTTCAGGAAAGGAAACTCACCGTATCTTGAGCAACATAGCAGTGCATTTAATCTCCATATACTGGGTGTTGACCTGGTCCAGTTCGGACTGGAACCCCAAGGCGGAACTCACGGGCCAATCGTTTCAGGAGAGCCAAACAACGCAGCAGGACCTGAAACAAACGAGGAACAAAAAGGCAAAGAGACAATCACAAAAGGAGGAGCACAGCACTCTGAAGTTATCGTATGGCCATTCATCCCTTGCACAGGTCTATCTTGTGGGACCACTGCACCCTTTCCTGGAACGGCAGCGCCTTCTCACGATAATTCACGCCTTAGAGGCGCCATGTGAACCGATTCGGTTTAGTGGCTAAATGCTGGGCCAATCACCAGGAGACAGTGAGTTCTAGTCCCACCTTAGGTATGAAAGCCAGCTGGGTGACTTTGGACCAATCACCAGGAGACTCGGAGTTCTAGTCCCGCCTTAGGCATGAAAGCCGCTGGGTGACCTTGGGCCAATCAGCAGGAGACAGTGAGTTCTAGTCCCGCCTTAGGTATGAAACCCGTCTGGGTAATTTTGGGCCAATCATCAGGAGACGGGGAGTTCTAGTCCCGCCTTAGGTATGAAACCCGTCTGAGTATCTTTGGGCCAATCATCAGGAGACAGTGAGTTCTAGTCCCGCCTTAGGCATGAAAGCCATCTGGGTAACTCTGGGCCAATCAGCAGCAGACCGAGAGTTCTAGTTCCATCTTAGGCTTGAAAGCCAGCTGGGTGATTTTGGGCCAATCACCAGGAGATGGTGAGGAGAAGGAAGGAAGGAAGGAAGGAAGGGAGGGAGGGAGGGGGAGAGGAGGGAGAGAGGGAAGGAAAACAGATGGTTGGTAGGTATGGTAGGTAGATGGTAGATACTGGTAGGGTAGATAGGTGGGTGGGTGGATGGATGGATGGAAGGTAGGTAGGTAGATAGTAGATAGATAGATAGATAGATAGATAGATAGATAGATAGATAGATAGATAGATAGATGGTGGTTAAAGTGCTGGCCTAGAAACCAGGTGCCTGTGAGTTCTAGTCCCACGTTAAACAACCCAGCGTACCTCACAGAGTTCTTCTGGGTAAAAACTGTTGCGGGAGGAAGAACGAGTATCTGGCATGTTTGCCCTGAGTTATTACAAGCAATCATAAAAGTGGGAGAAAAACCCAATCGAAGTCAAAATCTCAAATCGCAGGCGCCGTGCTGACGAAATGAGAAGAGCTTCAGCCCTTTGAGCATCGTTTGTTTCGTTCGGTACCAGATGCTCCCAGACTCCTGACTGAGGTGAGGGTGGGGGGTGGATTTCCCAGCAAGGATTACAGGAGCCAAAGATATTTTATATGGGATCAAACCATCCCGGCTTTTTCAAAAATGCAACCAGGGTTTCTTTTAGAAACCCGAACGCAGACGGCAGACTTCAAAAGGCTGCTGTTGAAAAGATTACCCTAATCTCGGAATTGTGGGACAGGCCAGAAAATACATACATATATATATATATTTGCACCCTCTACCTGGGGGTAAGCTGCTTTCTGCTGCTCCAGATACCCGACCAGTTCTTCCTGCTGAGCTCTGGCCTCCTTCAGATGCTGCTTCTCGGTGACTAGACTCTCCGGCAAGGCGCCCAGCATAATCATCTGGGCGGCGGCTCCGACGTTATCTGCCGGAAGCAAATTCGGAAGGGACAAGATCAGCGGTGAAATCCTCTGAAGTAAGTCTGCTACTGATTCTGTGAGTCTGCTACGGATCGCTGGATGCAGTACTCTAAGTGTGGTCTTACTAAGGCTTTCTAGAGTGGTGTTAGTACCTCCCTTGATCTTGATTGTATTTTTTTTTTTTTTAATTTGATTTATATGCCGCCCTTCTCCGGAGACTCAGGGTGGCTTACAATGTGTTAAGCAATAGCCTTCATCCTTTTGTATATTTTATACAAAGTCAGCTTATTGCCCCCACAAACTGGGTCCTCAAATTTACCTACCTTAGAAAGGATGGAAGGCTGAGTCAACCTTGAGCCTTGGCGAGATTCGAACCCTGCAGTAATTGCAGGCAGCTGGTCTTAATAACCAGCTTAATAACAGGGTGCCTTAAACCCTGTACTACCAAGGCTCTTATTGGTCGAGTTTTGGTCAACACACTCTAAAAAAGATGTGGAGACTCTGGAAAGAGTGCAGAGAAGAGCAACCAGGATGATGAGGGGACTGGAGGCTAAAACATAGGATGAACGGTTGCAGGAACTGGGTATGTCTAGTCTAGTGAAGAGAAGGCCCAGGGGAGACATGATAGCAGTCTTCCAATATTTGAGGGGCTGCCACATAGAGGAGGGGGTCAAGTTATTTTCCAAGGCACCCGAAGGCCAGACAAAGGAATAATGGATGGAAGCTGAACAAGGAGAGATTCAACCTGGAAATAAGGAGACATTTTCTGACAGGAAGAACAATCAACCAGTGGAACAGAAGTTGCCTTCGGAAGTTGTGGGAGCTTCATCCCTGGAGGCTTTCGGGGAGGCTTTCCCGGAGGCTTACGGGACCGCCTTCTGCCACCAATAGCCTCCCACTGGCCGGTTCGCTCCCATAGAGAGGGCCTCCTCAGGGTGCCGTCAGCCAGACAATGTCGGCTGGCGACCCCCAGGAGGAGAGCCTTCTCTGTGGTGGCACCTACCCTTTGGAACAATCTACCCCCAGAGATACGAGTGATCTCCGACCTCCGGACTTTTCGTCGGGCCCTAAAATCTTACTTGTTTTCAGTTAGCCGGTCTGTCTTGATTTTAGGTTGGTTTTAAAATTTCAATGCGGATTTTATATTGACAAGTTTGAAATTACGGGCCAAATTTATGTAATGATTTTAAATCTATTTTTAATTGTAATGTTATGTATAAATAACATTTTTATTTTGGCTGTTCACTGCCCTGAGTCCGAAAGGAGAAGGGTTGGTATAGAAGTTCGATTAATAAATAAATAAATAAATAAAGAGATTGGACTGCCATCTTGTCAGAAATGGTGTAGTGCAAAGATCAGCGCCTGTGGCTCTGGAGCCGCATGTGGCTCTTTGGTCCCTCAGCTGTGGCTCCCTGTCAGGTGAGCCGACCACTGGCTGGCTCTGCTCCTCGCCCTCCCCTCCTCGTCACTCCTCGCCTTCCCTGAGAAGGTCAGGGCAACAGCGGGGGATGGAGAAGCGGCCGGGGCAGAGACAGAGAGATACAGAGAGAGTGGGGGAAGAGAGAGAGATATAGAGAGATACAGAGACAGGTGGAGAGACAGAGACAGAGAGAGATACAGAGAGAGAGAGAGAGGGAGGGAGGAAGGAAGGGAGGAGAGAGATATGTCAAAAGGATTTTGTCGTTTCCGGTGTTTTTTAATAATCGGTTCTCTGCTCTAATGACCGGCTGGATAGGCGTGGCTACGGGGGATGTCATGTGACTGGTGGAAGTGAGTGACGTCGAGTTGGCCACGCCCACCCAGGTTTTGTGGCTCCCGGTGTTTTCTTTTCTGAGGGAAACGGGCCCAAATGGCTCTTTTGAGTATTTAAGGTTGCAGACCCCTGGCGTAGGGTCTCCTGCTTGGGCGGGAGGTTGTGCTCGATGACCTACAAGGTCCCTTCCAATTCTGTTTGTTTGTTTATTTATTTGTTTATTTGTTTATTTATTTATTTATTTATTTATTGGTTTGATTTATTGGGTCTTCTCCGGAGACTCGGGGCGGCTTACCATACGTTAAGCAATAGCCTTCATACTTTTGTATATACCTGCTTAGTAGGACTTTCGGGGGCCTCCCTAAGCGGTGTTCTTTTTTATACAAAGTCAGTTTATGACTGACAAACCGGGTCCTCATTTTACCTCCCTCGAAAGGATGGAAGGCTGAGTCAACCTTGAGCCTGGGGAGATTCGAACTCGCAGTAATTGCAGGCAGCTGGTGTTACTTAACAGTGCTTTAGTCTGCTGCGCCACCAAGGCTCATTGTTAAATGGTTATCGGTTAATCTGTATTTGTACATTTAGTTTTTCTTGTCCGTTTTTTAAAAAATCCTCCCCACATACACACACCTGGCATCCTGGCCTGCACCCACCACCAGACCACCCCATATGACCTATAATTCCAAATTTACCACTCTCGGGACGATAATAACTCAGCACGTCCAAACATTTGGCCTTCAGAAACTTCTCCACCTCGGCTGGGAGGTGTTTCTGCATTTGTTCCAGGTCCTAGAGGGAATACAGAAAGAGAAATATATTCCTTCCTCTGACAGACTTTCGATTTATCGCCTGTTCTCTCCAGGATGAGATAGTCCTCGACGTACGACCACAGTCGAGCCCAAAATTTCCGTGGCTAAACAAAGACAGACGTGAAGTGAGTTTCGCCCTGTTTGACGACCTTCCCTGCCACCGTTGTTCAGTGAATCGCTGCGGTGGTTCACTTAGGAACAATGGTTGTTAAGTGAATCTGGTCAGAAGGTCGTAAAAGGGGGGAAATCACGTGAGCCCAGGGAAAATGCAACCGTCGTAAATACAAGTCGGTTGCCAAGCACCTGAATTTTTCGATCGCGTGATCCGAGAGTCGTGTGAGAGCGGTGCGGTGGCCTAGAGGTGCAGCTCTCGCCTCACAATCAGGAGGCCCTGAGTTCGATCCTAGGTAGAGGCAGATATTTCTCTTAACGGCCGTGTTCTTAACTGAAGAACTTAACTTAAGCGAATCCTTACGCTGCCGGGATTCGCTTAAGAACGGCGGTGAGGAAGGCCGTGAAACGGAAGCAAAATTCACTTCGCCACAGGCTTCGCTTCGCAACGGAACATTCGCGGTTCGATTCTGGTCGTAATTCGAGGACTGCCTGCATAGCACAGAAAATTGGGGGGGGGGTTGCCATTTCAGCAGAGCGGCCTCTCTCCACAACGGATGGGGCAGGAACGGGTGGATCCTTACTTGGTGAGGCGGGAGAAACTCGGTTAAATGTCGGGTTTCCAGGCCTAAGACAGACGGACGGGCGTTTGGCAGGGACGAATGGAGATCAAGCATCCGTTTCAACTCCGCTACTAGCAGCTGCTGTTCTAGGGTTTCCAGGAACTTGAGGGCAGGAAAAGAAGATTTAGAGGGGAAAAAAAGAGAGAGATAAATAAACTTCACCCAACCAGAACCTTCCCTCCAGACAACACATTTTAAGCCGTAAAATCTCTGGCTGGCTGAGTCACCGAGCCAAAGACAAAACAAAATCCGATGGAGCCTTGTGTGAAGTTGGCCGTTAGGTTTAAAAAAAACACAATGGGGCCTGGGTTTTTGCTTCGCGAACGCGCCGCCGAGCGGCCTTGTTTCATTATAATGACCGGTTGAGCCGGTGTTTTGATGGCCGTAGCTCTGAGTTACGGCCATCAATTATATTTTTATTTTATTTTTATTTATTTTTTTAATCCTGTTGTTTTGTAATCCTCGCTTTTCTCGCAGAGGGATTTCAAGGGATGCTCGAAGGGAGGTTTGGTCCGAATTTTTATCCCGACGGCCGAGAAAATAACTTGGCTCGATGCCGTTCGACAGGCCTCTGGGACCACAACTCAAAAAGTCATCGATGGAAGAGAGTATTTGTAGCCCAGGATTGAAATGAGGAGTCTTTGATGATCTCTTGGCGGGTTTTTTTTTTTTTTTTTGTAGATGTTTCACTACCATACTAGAGAACATCATCATCACTGCTAAAAGGGAAAGGGGTTTGTGGAGAAGAGGAAAAGGAAAAGGAGGATTGTGGGGTTCCCGGTGGTCTCTGAGTTTGGTTGTTATTTTGCAGGCATTGAATTATTAAAATAAAAAAGCATCAGTAGTACAAGAGAGTGAGGCTTGTGGAGATAAAGAAGAGGAGGAGGAGGAGGAGAAAGGAAAGGAAGAGGAGGAGGAGGAGGAGAAAGGAAAGGAAGAGAAGGAGGAGGAAGAGAAGAAGGAAAAGGAAGAGAAGGAGGAGGAGGAGAGAAGGAAGAAAAGAAGGTGGAGAAGAGAAGGAAAAGGAAGGGAAGGAGAGGAGAGGAGGAAGAGAAGGAAAAGGAAGAGGAGGAGGAGGAGAGAAGGGAGGAGGAAGAAGAGAAGAAAGGAAAGGAAGAGGAGGAGGAGGAGAGAAGGAAGCTGGAGGAAGAGAAGGAAGAGAAGAAGGAAAAGGAGGAGAAAGAAAAGAAAAAAAAGGAGGAGAGGAGAAGAGAAGGAAAAGGAAAAGGAAGAGAATGAAGAGAAGGAGGAAGAGGAGAAGAAAGAGAAGGGGAGGAGGAGGAGGAGAAAGGAAAGGAAGAGGAGGAGGAGAGAAGGGAGGAGGAAAAGAAGGAGGAAGAAAAGAGGAGGAAGAGAAGAAAGGAAAGGAAGAGGAGGAGGAGAGGAAGAAGAAAAGAAGCTGGAGGAGAGAAGGAAGAGAAGGAGAAGGAAAAGGAGAAGGAGAAAGAAAAGGAAAGAGAAGGAGAAGGAGAGGAGGAAGAGAAGGAAAAGGAAGAGAATGAAGAGAAGAAGGAGGAGGAAGAGAAGAAAGAAGAAGGGGGGGGGGAGGAGGAGGAAGAGGAGGATATATATTTACTTGATATATATCAAAGTTCCTAACCAAGGAACCCCTAAGAACATTCCCACCAAAACTCAACAGGACAAGCCGCCTCATCATCACTTGCACTGATGATGTTACCTAGTTGGGTAATGAAACGTCTGCAAGAAAACCAGCAAGCTCAGAGAACACCAAGGACCCCCTCAGTCATCGTCCTCCTCCTCCTCTTGAGACCTTCCGACAAAGGGGGAAAGCCAGGTTTCATTTAACAACGGGCCGACTAACTTTGATCAACGGCAGCGATTCGCTTAACGTTATGGAAAAGTTGTAAAATGGGGTGAAAACTCCCTTCCCCGTCTCGCTCAACGACCGAAACGTCGGGCTCAACTGCGGGTCGTAAGTCAAGGACCCCGCCGTTAGGCTTCCTATCCTACCTATGTGCCGGGTTTCCAGTTTAAACAGAACGTAATTACCGAGTTGACAGCGAATCCCTCCGGCCAAACCAATTTAATTTTTATTCCGCTTTTCCGCTCCGTTGAGATTCCGCAGACCACCAAATCTGCTCTCCGCCGGCCGTGTTAGTTGGCACCGCCTTGCCAAGGGAACGATTCAAACGCTCCCTCGCTCTCGCCAACGCGCCGGCCGGCTTTGTTTGCCGTGTTTCTTTTTCCCCGATCTTACTTTTTTATCCTGGAGGGACGGATCGGCTCCCGGCTTCAGCAAAGCTTCCTGCAAAAGCCGATGCAAAGCTTCCCATTTTAACCAGTTGGCACTGTGCATCTGCAATTCCTTCCTGGCCTGCGAGAGGAGAGGGGAAGGAGGGAAGGGGGGAGGGAAGGAGAAAAAGGTTTTAATAAGGGCAACGGGCACTTGCTCAATTACATTAAAGAGCCGCTGGCGGGAATGGCAAGCGAAGGCAGTTCCCGGGCTCCGGCCCAGATAATCATGCCAAGACGAGGATCCACCATCTTTGACCGCAAAACAGCAGGTTGTTGTTTTTTTTTCTGGAGCTTAGCTGGCAGCCACTTCTTGTTTTAGAGTGTGGGGCGTGCATATACATGGGGGAGAGGGAGGGAGATAGATAGATAGATAGATAGATAGATAGATAGATAGATAGGTAAGATGGTAAGTTTAGATAGATAGATCGCTAGGTAGGTAGGTAGATGATAGGTAGGTAGGTAAAGTGGTAAGATAGAGAGATAGAGAGAGAGAGGTAGGTAAGATGGTAAGATAGATAGAGAGAGAGGTAGGTAGGTAGGTTGGTAAGACAGACAGACAGACAGACAGACGGATGGATGGATGGGTAGGTATGTAGGTAAGATAGATAGGTAGGTAGGTAGGTAAAATGGTAAGATTAGATAGATAAATAGATCGGTAGGTAAGTAGGTAAGATGGTAAGATAGATGGATGGATGGATGAATAGGTAGGTAAGAGATAGGTAGATAGGTAGGTAAAATGGTAAGAGAGAGAGGTAGGTAGGTAAGATGGTAAGATAGAGAGAGGTAGATAAGATGGTAAGATAGATAGAGAAAGAGGTAGGTAGGTTGGTAAGATAGATAGATAGATAGATAGATAGATAGATAGATAGATAGATAGATGGATGGATGGATGGATGGATGGATGGATGGATGGGTAGGTAGGTAGGTAAGATAGATATGTATATTTATTTATTTATTTATTATTTTTTCAGATTTCTATACCGCCCTTCTCCTTTTGGACTCAGGGCAGTGAACAGCCAAAGTAAAAACATTTGTACACAAAAGTTAAAATAGATTTAAAATAATTAAATAAAGTTTGGGCCATAATTTAAAACATTTCAATTCAAAGCCAATTTCAAATTTTAAAAACCCACCATAAAATCAGGACAGCCCGGCTAACTGAAAAAAAATAGGTTTTAAGGGCCCGACGAAAAGTCCGGAGGTCTGGGATCACTCGTATCTCTGGGGGGTAGATTGTTCCAGAGGGTAGGTGCCACCACAGAGAAGGCTCTCCCCTTGGGGGTCGCCAGCCGACATTGTCTGGCCGACGGCACCCTGAGGAGGCCCTCTCTGTGGGAGCGAACTGGCCGGTGGGAGGCAATTGGTGGCAGAAGGCGGTCCCATAAGTCCCCCGGCCCTAAGCCATGGAGCGCTTTAAAGGTGGTCATCAACACCTTGAAGCGCACCCGGAAGTCCACCGGAAGCCAATGCAGCTCGTGCAGGAGAGGAGTCACATGGGAGCACCCAGTCGCTCCCATAATCCCCCGCGCGGCCGCATTCTGCACCAGTTGGAGCCTCCGGGTGCACCCCAAGGGGAGCCCCATGTAGAGAGCGTTACAACAGTCCAGACGAGAAGCGATGAGTGCTTGAGTGACCGTGCGTAAGGAGTCCCGATCCAGAAAGGGGCGCAACTGGCGTACCAGGCGAACCTGATAGAAATACATATCTATAGATATGTACATATCTATAGATATGTAGATATATGTGTGTGTATACATATATGCACACATATATGTATACATACATACACATATGCATATACATACACATACATACATACACACACATACAAACATATATACATATACACATATACATACATATACATAGACACATAGACACACACACACACATACATACATACAGTGGTGGGATCGTCCCAGTTTAACAACCGGTTCGGTGATCGCACGCTTTGTGTGCGCCCGCACCTGATGCAGGTTGCGCGCGCCTGCGCATTTCGAACAAATCTTCACTTCAGGGTTTCTTCGGAGGAGTAACACAGCTGATTCGCGCGGCAATCCGTTCTGCCATGCAAATCAGCTGAGAAGATAAAGGTAGGAAAATAGCGCGGGCGGGCGGGCCCATCTGATCGTTGGGGAGAACCGGTTCGCTCCCTGGTGATCGTCGGAGCTACCAATTCACCCGAACCACCCGAATCTCTTTCTCTGTGTGTATAAATATATATATATATATATATATATATATATATATATATAGAGAGAGAGAGAGAGAGAGAGAGAGAGAGAGAGAGAGAGAGAGAGAGAGAGAGAGAGAGATTACCCATCTACGTCTCTTTCTATCACTTATCTCTCTCTTTTTCTGTCTATATCTATCTATATATACATAACTGTCTGTCTGTCTACCTATCAACCTTAGATAGGTACATAGACAAATATATAGGCAGAAAGAGATAGAGAGATGGATAGGAAGAGACATACACAGATGTAAAGGTTCCCCTCGCACATATGTGCTAGTTGTTCCCGACTCTAGGGGGCGGTGCTCACCTCCGTTTCAAAGCCGAAGAGCCAGCGCTGTCCGAAGACGTCTCCGTGGTCATGTGGCCGGCATGACTCAACGCCAAAGGGGCATGGAACGCTGTTCCCTTCCCACCAAAGGTGGTCCCTATTTTTTCTACTTGCATTTTTGACGTGCTTTCAAACTGCCAGGTTGGAAGAAGCTGGGACAAAGACCGGGAGCTTACCCCGTTACGCGGCACAAAGGATTCGAACCGCTGAGCTGCCGACCTTTCGATCGGCAAGCTCAGCGTCTTAGCCACTGAGCCACCGCATCCCCTATACACAGATGTAGATAGATATAAATTGATGGATAGAGATAGAGAGAGAGTGATAGTAATAAAGACAGAAACAGGGGAGGGGGAACAGGCAGGTAGATAGGTAGATTACCTGTCTACTGTTACGTCTCTTTCTATTCATCTCTATCTCTTTCTGTCTATATCGATCTACATCTGTCTATCTACCTATCTAAGTTTGTAGGTAGATAGATATAGATATAGATTGATATAGACAGAAAGAGATAGAGATGAATAGGAAGACATAGAGGTAGACAGAGATGGAGAAGGAGAGGAGAGAGAGAGAGAGAGAGAGAGAGAGAGAGAGAGAGAGAGAGAGAGAGAGAGACTGAGGCACCATGTTAGAAAGCAGGAGGCCATGAGTTCTAGTCCTGCCTTAGGGACAAAGCCAGCTGAGTGACCTTGGGCTAGTCACGCTCTTTCAGCCTACCTTGCAAGATTGTTGTAGGTAGGTAGGTAGGTAGGTAGATATTGATAGATTAGATTAGATAGATTAGAGAGAGAGAGAGATGATAGATAGATGACTGCAATAGATTATATATATATATATATATTATATATAATATATATAGAGAGAGAGAGAGAGAGAGAGAGAGAGAGATGATAGATAGATGAGCGAGAGAGATGAGCGAGAGAGATGAGCGAGATGAGAGATGAGATAGATTAGAAAGAGACAGACAGAAAGATAGATGACAGAGATATATTTATATATAGAAAGATAGATGATAGAGATAGATCGATAAATGAGAGATATGAGAAAGAGATATAGATGATATAGATAGATAAGAGACAGATAAATAGATGAGAGAGACATAGTTGAGATAGATAGATGAGAGAGATAAAGATAGATGAGAGATGAGAGATAGATAGATATAGAAAGAGACAGACAGAAAGAAAGATAGATGACAGAGATATATTATATATAGAAAGATAGATGATAGAGATAGATCGATAAATGAGAGATATGAGAGATATAGATGATATAGATAAGAGACAGATAAATAGATAGATGAGAGACATAGTTGAGATACATAGATGAGAGAGATAAAGATAATGAGAGATGAGAGATAGATAGATATAGAAAGAGACAGACAGACAGAAAGATAGATAGATGGCAGAGATAGATTATTTATATATATATATAGAGAGAGAGAGAAAGATAGATGATAGAAATAGATCGATAGATAAATGAGAGAGAGATAATAGATGAGAAAGAGAGATAGATAGATATAGACAGACAGACAGAAAGATAGATAGATGGCAGAGATAGATTATTTATATATATATATATATAGAGAGAGAGAGAGAGAGAAAGATAGATGATAGAAATAGATCGATAGATAAATGAGAGAGAGATAATAGATGAGAAAGAGAGATAGATAGATATAGACAGACAGACAGAAAGATAGATAGATGGCAGAGATAGATTATTTATTTATATATATATATATATATATATATAGAGAGAGAGAGAGAGAGAGAGAGAGAGAGAGAGAGAGAGAGAGAAAGAGAGAGAGAGACGGAAAGATAGATGATAGAGATAGATCGATAGATAAATGAGAGAGAGATAATAGATGAGAAAGAGAGATAGATAGATGACAGAGATAGATAGATGAGAGAGAGAGGCAGGCAGGCAGGCAATGTATAGAAGCTGTAATAGACTATTCAGTTTAGGGACACTGAACACAGACTATTTGGCAAGCAGACACCAAAACACCTCTTTTTTTCAAGTTTTCTTGGAGTGCCAGCGGGGAGAATTAACTTCATTTCAGGCCTGCTGAACATCCTGAGTCCAAATATGCCCCCCCCCCCCCGCTTTTAATCCAGAAAAGAACGGAGCTACCCGATTCACAAAACCCGACAAGATCTCTGAACTAAATAAACACGCTGGACAAAAGGCACACAGATTTTCTGTCCGTCCTCAGGAACCGGATCGAGCGATTTAACGCACGATTTCCCCCGATGACTTCCGCCGTCTTCTTGCGTGCGTGGCTTAGCTGCTGTATGTACGTCACGCGCTATCATAAATGAAACATACGTCCGCCTCAAGAGAAGTCGAATCCCGCAGCTTACGTGGGTAAATATTTTCCTTTGCGGCGTTTGTTTTAATCTCTCTGTACTGCAGAGACGATCGACGGGATTTCTCACACGCCGAGCGGGGAATATGTGATCCATTTGCTCATTCTAAGCTTAAGATCTGCAATGCAACATAATCCCCCGTTCCCCTTAGGATCTTCCTTAAATTCTACCTCATCTCTTTCAACCTTGGTCATTGAAGAGGGATGGACTTCAATTCCCAGAATTCCCCAGCCAGCCTAGCTGGCTGGGGAATTCTGGGATTTGAAGTCCACCCGTCTTCAAGCGTCTTAAGTCGAAAAACACCGATTTAGATCCTAATTTTCCATTTCTACTAGGAATATTTACGAGAACATACACCAAAGAAATAAAATATCTGATTTTACACATCATTAACACATTTTACACATCAGCTTAACATATCTTTAAAATATTTTTAATTGGTTTGTTATTTTAAATTGGGGCCAAATTAATATATATCTTTTTAATTGTTTTTAATGTTGGTATTGTATGTTTTTTATCTGGCTGTACAGCGCCCTGAGTCCCTCGGGAGAAGGTGCGGTATATAAATTTGAAATAAAATAAAAAAATAAAATAAATCATAACAGCAGCTCGGGCTCGAATAACATATGCACAAAAATGGAAACGGGAAGAAACACCGACAGATGAAGAAGTGATTAAAAAAAAAGTTTTAGAATGTGCTGAGATGGACAAGTTAAGAAAAGAAATGAAAGAAAAAGAAGAGATTACTATTACAATTTGGAACAAATGGTACGAATGGCTTGAGAGCAGAAATAAAGAACACCACAAATAGGGGAGAAGATAAAATGTAAAATATGTATGTAACAAATTTATATATATACATATACATATACATATACATATACATATTATGTATATGTAGGTCTTTGGTTATTCGGGTCTTCTCCCACGTAAAATTGGAAGTGTCTTGGCGACGTTTCGACGAAGTCCTTCCCCTGGAGTGGGGTGGGAATGGAGATTTTGCAGTATCCTTCCCATGCCATGCCCACCAAGCCACGCCCATAGAACCGGTAGTAAAAAAAAATTGGATTTCACCACTGCTTACAATCATTCATTTAATGACCTTTCGAAGTTGTGACAGTGCTGGAAAACGTGACTTATAACCAGCCCTCGGACTTACGACTGTCAAAGAGCCCCCCGCCGTCATGTGATCAAAATTCAGATGCTCGGCAACTGGCATGTACTTACCACTGTTTCAACGTCCCAAGTCACGTGATCACTATTTGCGACTTTTCCCGCAAGCTTCCGACGAGGAAAGGCAATGGGAGAAACTGAATTCCCCTTAAGAATTATATGCGATTCACTTAACAACCTTGGCAAAAAAAAAAGCTCATAAAATCGGGCACGACTCGCTTAAGGACTGTCTCGCTTAGCAACAGGCATCCCTGTTCCGCTTGCGGTCGTAATTCGAGGATTACCTGTATAGGAGGGGCATAAAAACCTCTCAGAAGGGGGAATGAAATTAGTGTCTTCTGTACTGGAGGATTTTTTTTTTTGCCGCAAATCCAATTGATTGTTTTGGAATCACGCAGTGGCGGGGGGGGGGGAAACCCACTTGAGTGTCTCTTATTGATTACTCGCAGGAATCAATGTTGGCTTTGTAATTGCATCCTGACGTGACATTCATTTCTGCGACAGGTTTCTATTAGGTGAAGCCCTTCCCATTCTGGAGATGTTTCTTATTTCCACACCAAAAAAACTCCGAACGAGCAAGCGAGCCCACAGCAAAAAAAAAATCCCATTAAGATCAACTTTCTCTTGTGGCAGATAATTTAGCCTGATTGATTTTATTTTGGGGAGGGGTGAGTGGGGAAGAGACCTCTTAATTGTTTGCTAAATTTCTAGACCTTCGTGCGCAAACAACGCAGTTCAGTTCTCTGCAAGTGGTTTCCGTCTTAAATTAAAAACAAAACAAAACAAAAAAAGAGAGGCTTTTTTTTTAAAAAAAATTTGATTTATATGCCGCCCTTCTCCGGAGACTCAGGGCGGCTTACAATGCGCTAAGCAATAGCCTTCATTCTTTTGTATATTTATACCAAGTCAGCTTATTGCCCCCACAATCCGGGTCCTCAATTTACCTACCTTAGAAAGGATGGAAGGCTGAGTCAACCTTGAGCCTTGGAGAGATTCGAACCCTGCAGTAATTTCAGGCAGCTGGTCTTAATAACCAGCTTAATAACAGGGTGCCTTAAACTCCTGTACTACCAAGGCTTTGTTCTATTTACGTTTGTGCAGCATCTGGATTCGGAAGGATCTACGGCTCTGAGATCCTGACGAGGTCCCAGCCCTCTTTGCTTTGAGCATCGATGAGCCTCTTTGCGTTACCCAGCCTTGAGCAACCGAGGCATCTGCAAGTT